TCACTAATAATTTTTTGTGACATTTCACTTACGTAATCGTCAATAATTTTCTTTCTTAGTTCCAATCTAAGACTGTCGGGAGCCATTTTTGCACTAAAGTCATAAAAATAATAAAAATAAATAATCACGCTTCTCAAGGCTTACCGTTTTACATTTACCTTGTGATGATACAATAATGCTCTGTGGAACACAACTTTCTTGGTTGGATGTGGACTCTGTTGATGTAATAAAACAATTGTTGTATTTCACTTCTTGTAATGATACTCTTCGATAAAACACTTTGATAAAACTCACTTCGATAAACTGTTTTGATAATACTGACTGATTGACTTCCATATACTGACTGAATTACATGTCGGTTTACATGTCTCTTATATAGTAAAATAAACCTGTGTGAACCTGTTCTGGTAGATTCTAGATGCTTCTTTTCGATGCTTCTGGAAGCTTCTGGATGCGTCTGGATGCTTCTGAATGTTACTTGATACTTCTAGATGCTTCTGGATGCTTCCAGATGCTTCTTCTGGAAACTTCTGGAAGCTTCTGCATGCTTCTGGAAACTTCTGGATACTTCCTTTAATTATTAAAAAACCCGTGACGTTGACACGAACCAGACTTAAGAAAATGAAACAAACCAAAAAAGTTGCACTTGTTTTGTCCGCTGCAAAATGGTACTTGTCAACGAAATTGTGCCTGTGTGCTGTCACCTGTCAGCTGATTGCTCATGTCATGGCATGCTATGACTCCAGACTCCTGAACTATTTGCTGTGGTAGTATAGTTCGTTTCGTTTTAAAGACTTCTAAAATTAGGAACACTTTTTAGCATTGTTCGATGTTGGTTGCAAATGTTTTTTCCAATACTGTATATGTATATGTATATATATATATATATATATATATATATATATATATATATATATATATATAACGTCAGAGCTATATATATAAAGAGCTATATATCAAATATATAGCTTTTTCTATATATACAGCTATATATATAAAGAGATATATATCAAATATAACAAAACCAGAGTTTAATGTCATGTGAAAAACTTCCTGCATCTTACCAGAGACAAAATGTTTCTAAGTATCTAACGCTTCGTAATAATTCGTAACCTGAAAAAAAAATTCTAGGACTTTATTCTAGGACATCTTTCCTAACTATTTGCAAGAAATTTGTATGAACATTGTTTGATTTCAAAGATTGCAAGTTTGTTTATATACCTTTCTGCGGCGTTGAAATCTAATTTTTCAAAGTATTCATAAACCGACATTTTTTTAAACTATTTAATTTACTTTTTTGTTCGAATTCTCTAGCTTTATAAACTCAATTTTTTTTCTCCATCCAAAATGGTAACAGTTCGCGCTATTGAGATTTTGCAATACCACGTGACTTTCCGAATGTGAGAATACTTTCAGACTGAAGTTCAATTGAAAAATATTCCAGACTCGTCATCCTTCAATAATTTGTCGAACAAAGAAGTTGTACAGGACTTTTTAAAATATAAATGAAGATATTAACTTTGTTATGAGATTTATTTTACCTTAAAACATATTTATGCTTCTTAAATGTCTAGAATGTGATATATACAATTTGATTCTTTTTAAAAAGTAAGCCTAGGTATTGGACTATAAACTTGTTGCGTTTGGTAATGAGAAACTGTTTGTTCGTTTATCTACTACTATTGCTGAAAAGAACTCTAATGCAAAAAAATAAAAAAAATGATATAGTTAAACGTGTGTTTGACCACCTGACATAAACCCTAACGTTGTAGCATTTTGTGAAATGGGTAAAAGATTGTTATCAGTTTGTATGTGCATCAAAAGGTTCATATTATAAATTTCAGTCTAAAAAATAAGCTGCAAAAATGACATATTTTTGAACTTTTTTATTCTAACTGTTGTGTACACAATCAAACCAATACTTAGAGGTGGAAAGTAACGAATTACATTTACTAACGTTACTGTAATTGAGTAGTTATTTTGTGAATTTCTACTTTTTAAGTATTTTTTTAAATGTGTACTTTTACTTTCACTTAAATATTTTTTTTCTAAAGTATTGTACTTCGCTACATTTGAAATTATAGGCGTTACTGAGTAAAAAAAATTATTATGTATTGTTTAATTTCACAAATAATATAATTCGAGTTTTTTGTTCCATTACATACCAGTGTATTCTTTCTTGGAACTCCCTTTGGAACAGCCTAAAATCAGGTCTCATCCTTAGGTTCAAGAATTTGTTCTTAATGTCACTCCATCATTTCTAACTAAAAAGTTAGGCTTAATTTTACTTTTTACCTTTTTACTTTCTATCTTTTGACTTATTTTTTTATTTTTATTATATGATTTTATTATAATTTTCTTTTTAATATTTTATTTCAAATAATTATTTTTATTATAATTTACTTATTTTATTATAATTTTTATTTAAGTATATGTGCATATTTAAATGTACATTATATTAATTATGTTATATATATTCAAAAAGTCTGATTTCTTGGTATAGTTAAACAAACTTTTATGCATTTTTACTTTTATTAGTTAATATTATGTTAACTTATTTAACAACTACTACAAATTTAAATAAAATTTTTTGAATTTCAACATAAATTACTGCAATCTCTCCAAGGATGAGAGTAAAACTTTGATGGAAAATAGAAGTAACAGCTTCTTTGAGCAGCGACCATGATAGTATTTGAAAATCAAAGAACTTTACAACGATAAGAGAGAAGCTCAAGCTTGGCAAATAAAGGTTAAACTACACTTAAAATGCGTTTTTAGATCTTGTCGAAAAGAAGAGAGCTTCATTAGAAAAACCAGCCTAAATATGATAGCAGCATTCCATACAGGGACAAATAAGAGATTTGTAGAGGGAGAAATAGAATTGAGACAATCTCTAGCCCTTACTGCAAAATATTAAATCGGAGTTTTTTTTTCTCTCTCTCTCTCTCTATATATATATATATATATATATATATATATATATAGAAAAAAAAACTCCGATTTATATATATATTTATACATATATATGGGTATATATATATATATATATATATATATATATATATATATATATATATATATATATATATATATATATATATATATATTATTGTTATTATTATTTTATAGCATATTATAATAATTATAGGGTTTTTTATTTGTCAATATAGGAATACCAACACTATTTTTAGTTGCAAAATTTATATATATATATATATATATATATATATATATATATATATATATATATATATATATATATATATGTACATATATATATATATGTACATATATATATATATGTACATATATATATATATATATATATATATATATATATATATATATATATATATATATATATATATATATATATATATATATATATATATATATATATATATATATATATATATATATATATATATATATATATATATACACACACACATAAGATCATATATACTGCTTTTAAATTTTTGTTAACTATCTTGACTGTTATGTAGACTATGCAGCATTTTAACAAGTAGCATAAAAGTAATCTTTACCTTCTAGGACAATTTTGAACTTATTCTCCTTATGTGCTTTAAATGCTCAACAATAAAATAGCTTTGTTTTTTAAATTGGTTGTTACTTATATGTCATAAAAGATTTTTTCAATATTTTTCAATGGATAATTTATTAGCCTTGATCTAAAAACTTTATGATTTTCATCTAAATAATTAAAGGGTCTTTAAATCAAGATCTTATGATTTTTAGTTAAAACTATAAATACTGCTATTTTAGAAAAACCGCATGTTAAAGGATCTCGCTATTTTATACGTTTACAATAATCTCTGGTAATTTAAAGACCAGATTAAGAGTTGAATAAAAAAATGGAATTATAGAATATGAGTGATGCATATCCCAGAAATGCTTAAATCTTGAACTTAGGCTTAAATAAAAATAAACTTTAAGTGATTAAACTTTTTAAGTCTAACAAGCTGTATGTCAAATTTTGGGTTCATTGTGTTTAAATAAGTAAAAACTTTCATTATTTTCGCAAAAACAGATTTTAAACTTGATATAGCTTGTTTTTTTCTTCCTTTTGATATATTTGCAGACATACGACTCTTTTGAATACATACGACTTGCAGACATACGACTTTTGAATACATACGACTTGCAGACATACAAGTTTTTTGAACACATACGAATTGCATACATACGACTCTTTTGCATACATACGACTCTTTTGAAATTAATTGTATAATTTAAAAACTTGTTTGAAAATGTTTTTTTCCTTTTGTTAATGTTTTATCTTTGTATAGCATCAACATTACTTTATACCAAAAAACAATACCCTAACTATGAAGCCAAATTTTATACTTAAATTTGAGTAATTTAAAAAAATATAAACTTTATTTAATATTAGACATAGGAAAGGACTGAAAATTAAAAATTTTTTCTTTCTTACTTTTGTTAAAAAAATTCAATAAAATTTAACCTTTTATTCTAACGCAAATTTTTGTATTATCCAGAACATGCATTAACTGCGTTGAGTTGTCAGGGCCAACGACACCGAGGAAGGAAGAGGGGTGGGGGGCACGTGCCTCCTCTTTTTTTCTAGAGGACCTTTTTTTTAAAAAAAAACTTGATAGAGGAAACTTTTTTAACAAATTAATAATTGTGCCCCCCCCTCCCACTTCAAAACCCGTGTCGTCGGCCCTGGGTGTTACAAATAATTGGTAACTAAAGTGAAGTCTTTGTAAGTCCTAATCGGATAATTTGTTGAATTATCTACCAAATTCATTCAAAATTTTACGGCAATCTTGTGTTTGAACCGCTGACAATCGTTTTACTTATGCCTAAAAATATTTGCAAAATGTTTATTCAATAAATACGTAAAACGTTTTTTAAAAATGGCGGTAATTACATCAAAAACAAAAACAAGTTTTTATAAACTATTTATTAATTTCATCTTGCATATATTGTTTTGCAGTCTAAAAATTAAAAATTAATTTACAATATAAGTATATGATATTTTTTCGAATAACAAAAATGCACAATTTACAAAAAAATGCTACAAATTATTCACAGTAATTGATTATAATAAACGTATTTAAAGATTAGTGATTTTCGTTTTGATAGTACAGTTTTCAAGTTTGTTGTGATAGTTTTGTTTTGATAGTACAATCAGTTTTCAAGTTTGTTGTGATAGTTTCGTTTTGATAGTACAATCAGTTTTCAAGTTTGTTGTGATAGTTTCGTTTTGATAGTACAATCAGTTACCAAGTTTGTTGTGATAGTTTCGTTTTGATAGTACAATCAGTTTTCAAGTTTGTTGTGATAGTTTTGTTTTGATAGTACAATCAGTTTTCAAGTTTGTTGTGATAGTTTCGTTTTGATAGTACAATCAGTTTTCAAGTTTGTTGTGATAGTTTCGTTTTGATAGTACAATCAGTTACCAAGTTTGTTGTGATAGTTTCGTTTTGATAGTACAATCAGTTTTCAAGTTTGTTGTGATAGTTTCGTTTTGATAGTACAATCAGTTTTCAAGTTTGTTGTGATAGTTTCGTTTTGATAGTACAATCAGTTTTCAAGTTTGTTGTGATAGTTTCGTTTTGATAGTACAATCAGTTTACAAGTTTGTTGTGTCAACTTTTAATTAAAAGTAATTCAAGTGCGTTGTGGATTTCAAAAAGAAGATAAAATTATAATTTTTATTAAAATTAAATTTATGCGTATACTTCGTAGAAAAGATAGCGAACTTGTTTAAAATTTCATACATAAGCTGTTAACTCAAGGATAGCCATATTGAAATGTCCTGTGTTATTAACTCCTAGCTCATATGAAGGACGAGGATTGTCGAAATAATGTCTAAATGTCGACATTACCATATTGATTTCGAGCCAGCCCCTGTACAACCGTACTTTGAGTTTCTGCGTCAAATCGCACAATAGTAGGTGCCAATTTATTGAAACTAAATGTGTAAGATTTCTTATTATTTAAAAGTAAAAAAAAAAAAATATACTTTTTTCTCACGAAATGCTCTCCACCTGATAAAATATTCATTCATAAAATTAAAACAAGCGTTTATAAAATAACAAACTTATCGTTTCAGTTAATAAAACCATCATTAGTTACTAACCAAAACCTATAAAAATTTTACCGTTTGTTGTAATGATAAAATATCACAAAAAAAAAAGGTAAAAACGAGATGAATGCAACTCCAAAAACAATCAGAACAATTGATCCAGCTGACAGTTTTTTACCTTAAATATATAAGAGAGATTAAGTAATACGATGCGCGTTGAATCAAGAAAGCAGAAATTAAAGATATGTAAATTAAATATATATAAATAAATACAAAGTAAGGGCAAAACGATAAAAGAAAAAGTTAGTGTTGAGTAAATTTTTTAAATTGTAATTTCCAAAATTTTTGATTAAGTTTTTAAAATTTAATTATTATCCTTTGGTTTCGTAAATATTAAAACTAAAAAGTTTTGTTTTAAAAACTACAATTTTTGATGTGAAAAAAAACAACAACTCTTAATAAATTTATCATCTTATAAAAAGAGTTTATAATATAAAGTTTATCCAATAAATGTAACGAAAAGTTTAACATTAAAAATGAAAATTGTAATTCCTTGTAACAATTCTTTTAGAATAACAGCAATTATTCGATGACTTTAAATTTAACTATAATTACAATAAATGTATAAAAATTGATAAAAAATTATCACTATGAAATTGTTTATACCTAACTTAATCACACATTTTTAAAGTTTTTTGTATAATCATTAAGTTTTATCGCTTCAATACTTAGTAGTGGTAGCGATGAAAACTTTCTTCAGCCTACATGGAAATGCAAACCAAGTCTAACCTGCCTGTTAAAGAAAAGGAACAAAATGACATACTAAAATGTGAACTTTCCAGCAAATATTTTATTGGTTGTTAAACTTTTCCAGAAGATGAAGCTGCAGATTTACAAAAGCTTTTTTGAAATCTATAACTCACCAAGCTGAACATTTTTTTTAACAATTAAAAACTTTGTAAGACAACAAATTACAAGTAGTAGTCGTATTTGGAGCAACTTTTAAATAAATTTGATAATTTTTAACCTTCTAAATGCGGTCTCTAGCATTTGGAAGGTTAGTTTCAAAAATATCAAATTTATTTAAAAGTTGCTGTGAATTGTTTCCATCAAAACTTAGTAACCTCTAAATATAATATAGCTTGATTTAGACCATTTATCAATTGACATTCCTATAATTAACCCTCTCACTGAGTCCTCTTCTTTACGTCTTCTTAGATTATCGTTTACTAATGACCTTTCATGGAAACCGTATATACAATCGATTGCTAAACTAGCATCTGGTAAAATTGCTTCTCTTTATCGTGCTCGCCATTTTCTCTCTCCTGACTCCATTCACTACCTCTACAAATCTCTTATTTATCCCTATATGGAATACTGTTGTCATATTTGGGCTGGTTCATCTTTGATGATGCTCTTTCTCTTCTAGACAAGGTCCAAAAATGTATTGCAAACGTAGTCAACTTCAATCAACTAAAACTCATTCTCGCTTGTCTCATTCAGCTAAGTCTCAATCTTTCACTATATCTGTCCCAGCATGCTTCAAAAACTTTTAATTGTCTAGTTTTTTCCCCGCACTTTAACCTTTTAGAACTCTCATCCTATCTTTATGTTTTCCTTACTCATACAACCTTAAACGTTTCAAGTCCTCTGTCAACCGCTTTCTTGCTCTATAACTCTATTTTTTTTTTCTAGTTACTCTAAACTTAGTATTGGTTGCTTGCAGCCTTGTACACACTAAAAAAAATGTAGAAATTTCTACCTTAGGGTAGAAAATGTGATATACCCTTAGTAAGGTATAATCTTCTACCTTTTAAGGTAGAAAATTATATTAAAACTAATTATTTGTCATACAATTTTCTACCTTAAAGGTATAATTTTCTACCTTACAAGGTAGAAAATTACACCTTGGTAAGGGTATATCACATATCCTACCTTAACTGAAAATTTCTACCTTTAATTTTTAGTTACATTTTTAATTTTTCTTGTAAATAGTGATTCATAAAATTAAAAAAAAAAAAAAAAAAAAATCTTTTCACCAAAATTGCTTAAAGGTGAGTTTCCACTCATCCGTTTTTTTACGAGAACGGGATAGGAAAGGAAAAAATAATCACGTGAGCATGCGCATTTTTTCCTTTGGACATATTAAAATTTATATTACGCATGCCCACGTGATTACTTTGCCCGTCCCTTTCCCGTTCCCGTGAAAAAACGGCTGAGTGGAAACTCGCCTTAACTTAATTGCTAAAAAAAGCATAAAATGTGAAGAAAAAGGATCAAAATATCTTCTCATCAAAATTGATTTACAATTAAGAAAGCATAAGTTACTAACAAAAAGAAACAAAGTAAAAATCTTTTTAACAAAATTTAATTATCAATTAACAAAATATAAATATGTAACAAAATATATATCTTTTCAATAAAACTTATTTGTAAACAAAAAAAATATATATATATTTTTAAATATATATTAAGCATCCATTCCACACACACACACACACACACACACACACACGCGCGCGGGTGTGTGTGTGTGTGTATGTGTGTGTGTATTATTTACAAACATAACAAGAGAATAGTTCAGCCTTATCCTTGGAAGAGGTAATAAGATCAGTCCCATGAATGAGAGATAGAATGTTAGACCTTCCTTTGTTAACAACACTGTTGAGGAGATTCAAAAAGTCTCTAGAGCCTAACTTCTGAGATAAGATATGAGATTTAGTGAACTGAGAATAACAGAGCTTAGGATCTGACAGTACCTGTTTAAATCGATTTCTTGCAAGAATAAATAGCTGCTTGTTCTTTTGAAAAATATTAAAAAAAAATGATTAAGATAAGCTATAGCAGCTGCACAAGAGGGTGAAAACCATAGAGTAGAATGAGGCTTAACTTGAATATAATGAGAAGGAATACAAGCATCCATTCCTGTCAGAGTCCAGTAGGTTACGTAGGAATCGTATTTCTCAGCTGAGAGGGAAAAGACATTAGCCCAAGAACCATCACAAAGAAAATCACGAGCATCCATTCCAGTCAGAGTCTAGTAGGTTACGTAGGAATCGTATTTCTCAGCTGAGAGGGAAAAGACATTAGCCCAAGGATCATCACAAATAAAATCACAAGCATCCATTCCTGTCAGAGTCCAGTAGGTTACGTAGGAATCGTATTTCTCAGCTGAGAGGGAAAAGACATTAGCCCAAGGACCATCACAAAGAAAATCACGAAAAGAGTCCCAGTTAGGTTTAGGGTAGTAGTAAGTAGTGCGACAATAAGGTGAGTCCGAAAATCAAAGGATAGTACCCGTCAACATTAAGATCAGAAGAAAGAATTGCAGTATTTAAATTAGTCTCACTAAGACCAAAAAAGTCTGATTAATTTTGCAAGAGGTAAGATTCAACTGATGGAAGGTTGCTTTGCAGACCAAGAATAATAATAAAAGATATATTTAAACAGTTAGGTGATGGGGATGGTATTTTATGTTTAATATTTTGATTTACTTTTGGCACATTTAAGTTTAATGAGGACATGACTCATTCATAGATAGAGCATTGGCTCCCGAAGAATAAGCTATGCAATTTCTCAGTACAGTTAATTAACTCTAAGTCGTAACATATGGCTCCTTATGTGGCTTCGACAATGTGCATAAAAGCAAATATCAGATCACGCATAATTGATGTCAGATGCCGTTGCAACACTAAACTTGTATTTTTTATAACAGCTTTTGTTTTATATTTAAATAATATGGCTGATGGTTGATGAAGTTCTTTTATAAAGTTGCATTTTTTCATTTAAATTATTTTAATATATATATATATATATATATATATATATATATATATATATATATATATATATATATATATATATATATATATATATATATATATATATATATATATATATATATATATATATATATATATATATATGTATATATATAAATGTATATATATATATATATACATATATATATATATATATATATATATATATATATATATATATATATATATATATATATATATATATATATATATATATATATATATATATATCTATATATATATATATATATATATATATATATATATATATATATATATATATATATATATATATATATATATGTGTGTGTGTATGTATGTATAGAAAGAGGTAGATTACTATGTGCTGTTTTTTTTGCTTAAATGATTTTACATTAGTTTAAAAACACCAACAGCAAAAATTTGATTTTTATAATATTACGTATCATTTATACATCTTTGATGTTTAATCATGCCAAACTATTTATATAACTATCTTTGATGTTTAATCATGCCAAACTGAAAGAAATCAGGTTAAGGGAGAACTCATTAGGCATAATTTACATTGCATAGCAAGAAACGATAGTGTTTTAGATAGTAACTACCTCATAGAATTAAACCATATATGTTAGTATCGTTGTGCTAAAAGTTATTAAATAAAATATATTTTTTGTGCTTCAATTCTGGAAAAGTTGTATTAGCTCCTTTTTCACCATATCCACCATTGTTTGAATCCACCATTGGTGAAAGTGTTCTACCTTCATATTGTCAGCTATATATCTATGACCTTAATGCAGAGTCATTTAAAAGAGAGTAACATAGAAATAATGATTGTATACATGAGTTGATGCAACTCTTGCACACTCTAGTTAATTAGGAAAACCTATTTGGTCTTGCATTTTAAAAAAATATAGAAGTAGAAATGAAAATCTGCAAAGTCTATTCCAAGATGACATTGAATCGAGAAACATATTAGCTGATTAATCTAATCGATTAGGCTAATTAATCTGTATTTACTTGATAAGGCATCCATAATACCCAATCATGCTTTAAATGCCATTGATAAGTTATTACAAGATATTTGCAATAACAAGTTTCTTTTTGGTAGAAAAGTTATTCTTTTGGTTTGTGATTTTCAGCAAATACTTCCAGTAAGAAGAGGGCTTCCAGTTGATATAGTTGAAGCATGTTAAAATGCTCTCAACATTAGCAATATGTCATATTTTCTCGATAACAAAAAATATTAAATTTCAGAGTGAAAAAGAATTTTCCCGCTGGCTTTTAAAACATGGAAGTGGAACATAACCTGTCAAAGCATATCAAAGCAGTCCATTTCATTATTGCATTGTACCTAAGCAGTGATTGAGTGATTGATTAGTAAAAATGAATTTGTTGTGGGAAAGATACTTGGTGCTAGGGAAAAAGGTGATTATTAAGGCGCATCATACTCAGGCCAAAAACTTAAAAAATTAGATTTACCATTGGCATTATTAAAAAAGGGTGAGGTTTAACATATTAAATTCAGAACTATCAAAAAATTTAAACTTAAATGAGTTAAAACTACCAGGGAACTGTTTTGAAAATTGCAAAAAAAAAAAAGAAGCGATTTTTCATATTTTCAGGGTCAATTTTAACATTTTTAAACTTGAATCAGCTTTACAACAAACTTATGAGTTTAACAGCAAACTCACCTACAAAAATTAATACAAGATAAGCATAATACATTTAGAAGTTAAAACTGTTTCAAAAATTTGATTTACTCGGAATATATAAAAAAAAAGATGGCAGAGGAGGGGTGGTGCTTTTTTCGAGTTTTGTATGTAATAACTTCAACTCGTATATTTTGTTAGAAGGTCTCTTTCCATATGGCTACATAGAAACTTTATTTTTAAATATCTTTTTCAAACAATTAATTTATAAGTTAATGATTTTTATAAATTGTCAGTGAAGTTATCAAAAGCAACTACAGAGGAAAAAGATAAATACTTTAAGTTTAATTTTTACAGATTTTACAGTGGGATAGGATTTAAGAAATATAGTTTTTAGTAAACAAACAGAGACTTGATGAATGAAAAGAGATGGAGCCAGGATTGCTTTCCATTTCTTTTTATTTAAGACTATCTACTGCATATTTTTAATTCTTAATCTATTTTATATGTTATATAAAAACAGTTTATTAGGATTATATTTTTTATCAATATTGATGTTATTATATTTTTATTTAAAAAATAAATTGATATTTATTGCATTTCTAATTATATTTTTTAAACTACTTGATAAAAAGTATAATTAAATATAAAATGGCTGCTGGAACAAAAAAGAAAAATGTTTTTTTTTTTACGCAAATATTTGGGATCTGCAAAAGAGTTACCAGTAGCTGAACTCTTTTTTTCAAGATCCCAAATATTTTTTTCTAAAAAAAAACAAGAGAACTAAACAGAAGAAACTATAATAATTTTGAATTGATCCAGGATATTTAGAATAAACTTTCAGAAAAATGGCCAATGTTTTAATTAAGCCTCCTTAACTATTTTAAACATAATTTAATAACAAGACTCAAAGATGCTTGGAACAAAGCTTGCCTGATTTCTCAAAATATAACAAATAAAGTTATAAAATAAAAGTTTAAGTTCATCATTGACAAGTTATTTGACTTGGTAGATTGTAAATTTATAATTTTGCTTTGTTCTGAGCATTATTGTTCTTCTGATTGTATAGTTGGTGCCCACATTACCTGTATCTAGGGATGCCCACATTACCTGTATCTGTATTCAAGGGAGAAAAAAAATACTGTTTTATATAAAAGGTATGAGTGAATATACTAAAAATAATATAAAAATATTAGGAATGCTAAAAATAAAACTTTATGAAGGAAAATAAAATTTAATGAGAGGTAATGCACTTAATAGAGCTAAAGTAAGGGCGAAAGTTAAATTGGATTGTGTGTACTCTAAAAACCTATTATTCACCATTAAAACATCTGATAAAATTGTTAGATAAAAAACCAAAAGCGATAAAAAATGAAGCGGACTTATTGGAAGCGTACTTGATGAAGTAACCAATCTTGAAACTAACCTTTTTTTTTTACTATGGTTGAAACTGGTGAGCATCTTATCAACTTGAGTAATGATGTAGTGAAAGAACTTTGTACAGATCAGTATTATGCTTATCAAATAGTTAATGTTATACAAAGTAGTCATTGTAAATTTTTATAGTCATGTTCCTCAACAACTAAATTTAAAATAAATTTAGTATATATATAAGATTTTATATATATATATATATATTTTTATATTTTATATATATATATATATATATATATATATATATATATATATATATATATATATATATATATATATATATATATATATATGTATGTATATATAATATGGCTAGTGATTGCCAAAGGGCAAGAATTAATTATAAAACAAGCAGTTTTTTTTTTGAGTCCCAGGTTGATATGATTTTGAAAAAAAAATCAAAAACATTAGGACCAGTCAAGAATTTAGAACCCAAAGAGGAACCTCAAGATATCATCAAAATCAAAAAACATTTTTTTTTACTTTGTTCTTATGAATAATAGACATCGATTTGTGACTCAGGAAAATTTATTTTTTAATTTTTTTTGTTATGAAAATCACTATACTCTAATATATATATATATATATATATATATATATATATATATATATATATATATATATATATATATATATATATATATATATATATATATATATATATATATATATATATATATATATATATATATATATATATATATATATATATATATATATATATATATATATATATATATATATAAAATATATATATATATATATATATATATATATATATATATATATATATATATATATATATATATATATATATATATATATATATATATATAAGATACTATATTCTAATAAATAGTAAATTTTTATAGTCATGTTCCTCAACAACTAGCACTTCTAGAAATTGGCTCTGTTAACATAGCCAGATAGCTAACAACAGCCAATAGAATCTTTAAGATTTGGTCTCATCATGATCTTCAAGGTAATGCAGTCTAAAATTATCTGAAACTTGCAGAGTATTTTGTTGGAATGCATTTTCCTATTGGCTTTAACATAGAAAAATGCTTTTTCCAACAACAAAATTTAAGCAGAATTGGATAGAAGGACCAAAAAATGTTTTTTACCAGCTTAAGTTGCTTCAACACCAGTCACTAGATGTTCAGACTATAGTCATTATTATATATGTCTTCTCCAAGTTTATTCTTCAAACTATGCTTTGTTCTGAAAACAAAGAAGAGAGAAGTAAACAAAATTCTTGAAATACGAAGAAAATGAAAAGAAAACATGCAACTAGGAGATCTAACTGTTGGAACAAGAAGGACACCAGATATCAACATTAAAGCAATTTTCTCTAAGGTCAAAGATATTGATTGGAATGAAGCTTTTAAACAACCATTAACTTATTGCATGACAACTAGAGATATGAAAGAGTATTGCGATAAACCAATGATTGTACCAAACTGGTGTTGCCACACTCAAGCTGTTGAAAGATGTGTAAATAAAGCCACCCATGCATGTGAAACTGTTTTCACAGAATACAAGAGAGATGGTTGGATTAAAGGAAAAAAGTTATCATAGAAATTGATTTTTTTTAATCTATCCAAACAAAACCTCATTGGGTTGACAATGTTTAATAAATAATCTTTATTATAATATTTTAATGTGCTAGTAAATATGTTTCATGGATCTATAAAAAACATATCTTCACTACTATAACAATAAAATGTTACATTTTCAGCAATCAGCTAGGGGAAGGAGGAAGATAAAAGACAAAGTTAAGAGACAGATAAAAATGGGGAAAGAGTAGTGAAATGCTATATGTATACCAAAGATAGCAAAAATTAAAAATAATAAAATTATAGGCACCCCTTTACCCCTATTTGTCATTTGAAATTTTTAATAGGATTTTCTTAAGTATTGAACCTTAATCCATTTGCAAGACTTTTAAATGAACTATTTTTTTACCATTTACTAAATATTATTGATTAAAAAGTAAAGATATATATATATTTATATATATATTTTTACTTTTTATAGTAAAACATACTTGACATGACGGGTTTGAAGTTAATAATATTTTTACATTTCTTTTAGAATAACATACAAGTTTCAAAAATTATTTTTGGACAAAAAGTAGTACCGAATGAACATGATTTATCATCATCTTGCAAAAATGATCCATATGGACATAAGCAAACTGCCTGATCAGATACCATTTCGCAACTGTATTCACAATTTTTTTCTTTACAATAATCTTAAAAAAATAAAAATAAAGATCGACTTAGAATTACAATATTTAGTGTGTGTAGATATATATATATATATATAAATATATATATATATATATATATATATATATATATATATATATATATATATATATATATATATATATATATATATATATATATATATATATATATACATATATATATATATATGTTAATGTTAATGTATTCTACAATTAAAGGAAGAAAAATGGTTATATAAAAATAATATATAACCAAGCATGATGTTTATAATCAATTAAATGTTTATATATATATATATATATATATATATATATATATATATATATATATATATATATATATATATATATATTAGGGATATGACTTTTTAAAAAAAAATTTCCCTGGCCCAAAAATGGATGAGTTTTTACGCATAAAATGCGAAAATATTAATACTTTCACGATGTTCAAAAAAAATGTCAGGCCCCAAAGCACATTAAGATTTAAAAAGGTTTTAAAAAAATTAATGACCAAAATCATTTCTATTTGCAAACATGTTCATTCATATGATTCTATAAAAAAACATAATTTATTCTAACAGTTAATACATGGCATAGTGTTATATTCAATGCAGGAAAAAACATTTTATACAATTTAAATACATACAGTTATTGTTTATTAGACAAAATGAAACGAAGTGGAAGATTGTCTATTTCTTCACAATCTATAAAGCTCCTCCATTACTTTAATTTCTCTTTCAGCACATTGATTACTTCTGGGAATGTTGATTGCTGATGGTTATGGATTCCTATGACTTGTAAATGTAGCAAGAGGTTTCTTTTTGTTTAATAAAACTTCATGAAGGTCTGAATAAGTGTTTTTTTTATAGGTTTGGTTGTCAATCCAAAAGTCTGCCCACTTGTAAGAAATAAAGATACATACAGATTCAAGTTTGTTTCTTGTTTTTAGCCTAAGAATGTAGGCTAACAACGCTAAAATAGCTCTTGAACTCCACCGAGCGTTACTGATATTAGGGATTTTTTGAAATCTTACATTAGGAAATATTTTATTTTGGTCATAGTATCGGTAGATTCTCGTCAGATGAAACAGAAACTTCATGTCATCTCGCCATCCTCCTGTGTCTTTTATTTCTTCTGTACCATTATAAAAATTTGTCTTCAGTGTTTCATAATGTTCTGACAACTCGTTAGTAAAAAAGTAATTAATGTTTGGTGAGTTCGGATTTTCTCCCAATTTTTCTTCCATTTCTAGTCTAAGTATTCTATCCAAGATATGATGTTGACATGGTACAAATTGAGGTTTTTGTAATCCTTTTTTTTGAAAAATGTTCTGAAGTTTTACAACAACACCATTTTTCTTTCCGGTATTGACATTTGTGGTATCTGTCACAATCATTTTAATTGAATTTCATAGTTTAAATTCATCTATAATATCAGCTATAGCATTAATAATAGTGATAGATTTTCCATCTATTAACTTCGGTGCGCCCAACTTTATTTTGCTTCTTTCGTTTTTAAGAACAACAACCTGATACTCCCATTGGTCTATATGCTTTCCATGGAAGTGTAGACTCCAATTCTTATTCTTTAAATCTTGAATTAAAGTTTCTTTAAATTGTTTTGCTTCATTAAAAAGAGCCTTGTATATTCCAAACTGTGATGGCACTGAAACATGTATGCCTTCTGAGGACAGTATTTTACCTATTTTAGAAGCTTTCTTAGTTGATATCTTAGCACAAACCACTAACTTTGTTGCTATTTTACAACTACTATATTTTTTACGTCTTTTCTTCAAATTATTATATTCTTCATCTGTAATTTCATTATTATCGCAAATTGTTCATCAGTTTCTTCAAATTCGGAACTAGAGTTGTCTCTTTCTATTTTACTACTTTCAGTAAATGAAGAAAAACTTTTAGATGCTGAAGGTTGGCTGGAAAGTTTTTGCACAATTGATGGATGAATAGTCTTCTTTCCTGCCAGCTTTGAAGTAGCATATCCAATTTCTCCTTTGCTTTGTAACTGAATTTCATAAAATCTTTTATCTTCAGATGATAAACAAATGCCATTTTGATTTGTTATATCAAAAATCTCTTTTTGCAGAAGGTCGGCTTTCGCTTTTTTTCTGAGACTTTCATATTTTTCTATAACATCATTAATTTTTCGCTTCACTGACCGCTCTGTCAGACATGGATAATTTAATTGTTCTTTCCACAGTCTTATAACTTCTTCGGAAATAAGATCTATCCTTTGCTTTTTGGCTTTCACATCAGTACTAGACAAATACTTAAACCTGCTAACAATATCACTTTTTAATGGCATTTTGGAATATTCTTGAAAAGATGTTTCTAACATTGGAACTGTTTACTTTTATGCGAATCTTGAAATTTCACAAGATTTTTTTTATAAGCCTCTTTATTTTTTTCAACACTTGATTGGCAGTATTTGTATGCCATTTTAATTAAAAGCAGCACAAAAAAATCTGAAACTAATTAATAAACAATTAGGCACGGCAGTGAAAAACTAGAAATTATAAAGTGGTAATGCATACGTCTGGTATGTAATTAAAATTATATATATAATATATATTAATCGTCTATATATATTTTATTATATATAATATAATAAAATAATAAAATATATATAGAGGGTTATGACTTCTTTAACTTATGTTTTCTTATTTTATCTCTCTCTCTCTCTCTCTCTCTCTCTCTATATATATATATATATATATATATATATATATATATATATATATATATATATATATATATATATATATATATATATATATATATATATATATATATATATATATATATATATATATATATATATATATATATATATATATATATATATATATATATATATATATATATATATATATATATATATATATATATATATATATATATATATATATATATATTTATATTTATATATATATATATATATATATATATATATATATATATATATATATATATATATATATATATATATATATATATATATATATATATATATATATATATATATATATATATATATATATATACTAACTAAAACGTGTTTTGATAAACATTTGCTCACTTTTCTGCTTACCTTAAGCCGTACCGTTTTTTTTCGAAAAAGTAGATAAAAAAAACAAAGAATGATAAATAAAACGATTGGTGCCCCATCCCGAACCCTCAGTTGATGTAGCAGCACTCCACTGCGAGTCAGGCTATTTGTCACTCTTGCATGGTTGTTTTTAAGTTTTTACCATAAAATGTCAGTTATATGTTTTTTTTTAATTTTAAAGACCAGAAAAAAAATTAATTTTTAAAATTTTTATTATTTGATACACTGCCTGCCAAAACCAAACCCTCAGTCGATGTAGCAGCTACCCATTGCAAGTCAGGCTATTTGTCACTCAATGTAGCAACTCTCTGTTGTGAGTCAGGCTATTTGTCAGTCAATGTAGCAGCACTCCTTTGAGAGTCAGGCTATTTGTCAGTTGATGTAGCAGCACTCCGTTGATAGTCAGGCTATAAGATAGTTGATGTAGCAACATTCAGCACATGTTTTATGGTTAAACAATAAAAATAAAAATAAAAAGAATATGTGGTCACATGCCCGCAGTCTATCAATACTAATCCGCAGTTTACTAACAGATTCTGAATTTAGTGCAAAACTAAATGTGCATTTTTCAGATATAGTTTGGCAAGAAATCATTAGGCAAGATTTACCACGTTATTTCAAAACAATTGCCTCTCCACCAGAATTGCCTACTTTTGCTTTCTCTAACATTAATGAACATTTGAAACGCATTAAATTGACACCAGCCAGTCATAACAGCATATCTGGCAAACTACCAGTTTGCTGGTAGTTTGCCAGATATGCTGTTATGACTGGCTGATGTCATAACAACATATCTGGCAAACTACCAGATACGCTGTTATTACATTGCCAAATGCAAATTTATTTATATTGGCAGAGGTGAAAAGCCAGTCATAACATTAAAAAGTGAAATTCTTAAAACTGTGAACTCATACAAATATCTTGGCATCAAACTTAACTCAAGTCTCAATTTTGACAAGCATTGATCTAGTTTACATAAGAAAATTGCTCTAAATGATGCAAGTCTTTAAAAACCGTCTTCTAAAAGCTGCTGGTATTGATCTAAATGAGGCAAGCTACTATGGTATTCTTCTTATTGAAGTACATCTTGATCTCGTATGTCTCAGCACACTTAAATAAATTTTAAATAAATTTTAAATAAATCTAACCATCCAATCACACTTAGTTTGCATAAAAACAATTACTTTCATTCCACTTTCAACTTTAATACCAGATTTTAAATAAATTATTTTTTTACCATTTACTAAATATTATTGATTAAAAAGAAAAATACGGGTTTGAAGTTAATAATTTTTTTATTAGAATAACATACAAATTTCAGAAATTATTTTTGGAAAAAAAAAAAATACCGAATGAACATGATCTACCATCAGCCTGCAAAAATGACCAATATGGACATGAGCAAACCGCCTGACCAAATGCCATTTCGCAATTGTATTCACAACTTTTTTCTTTACAATAGTCTTAAAAAAATAAAAAAAAAGGTTGAATTAGAATTACAATATTTAGTGTGTGTGTGTATATATATATATATATATATATATATATATATATATATATATATATATATATATATATATATATACATATATATATATATATATATATATATATATATATATATATATATATATATATATATATATATATACAGTGCCCGGACTCTCACTCATGTCATCTGAACAAATCTGGGTTTTACTCACTATAAAAAACTATTCTTTCTTACTCAGTGCAATATATAGGCCACCTCTTACTGTCAACCACCAAAACAACAATCTAATAGATTCCGAAATAAATAACAACATCAAATTGGCAGCAAATGCTGTCAGAAAAAAATAACTTTATGACCTACTAGTAGTTGTTGATTTTAACTATCCTTATGTAAGACGGTCTCGAGATGGATCAGCCAATTTGCGTGGACCTGTCAACAGCCCTGGACACATTTTCATCAAAATGTTAGCTGACGAGTTTCTATCACAACATGTACTCTTTCCCACCTTTACAATGGCAGATGGCTCACAAAAAAACACGCTTGACTATATTATAAGTGAAAACCCTCTCAGTGTGTTGAACATCAGAACAGGACCCCCTTAGGTAATGCCCGCCAGTCTCATCTGAGTCTACTCTAGAATTATACTCTTCTGAGCAATTCGGCATGTAAATTTACCAACTCCAATTTAAACTATAGAAAAGGCAACTTTACCGTTATGTTAGCTAAATTATCAGATATTAACTGGCCATCTCTTCTAGCCAACAAAAATATAAACAAGACTTATGACACCTTCATGTCTATTTAACATAAACTGTGTATTGAGTTAATACCAACTTTAAGACCTTATCTAACTCAAAAATCTACAGCGCCTTGGATAAACAAAGAATTCATGGAACTATCTAGATAAAAGTTACGGCCATGGCACCTAAACACACCTAATAAATGGAGGTCCCAGGACTTAAAAACACGTTAAAATCAAGTAAATAATAAATTAAAGAAAACCAGCAAAAAAGAACGAAATAAATTTGAACTCAACCTTGCTTGCAATAAAAAAATCCTAAACGCCTGTTCGCGTATATCAATAGTAAAAACAAGAGTCAAGTTGGTACTAGCGCTTTACTAAACAGTTTAGGTCAAATAACAACTGACAAAGAACAACAAGCAAACATTCTCAACAAACAGTTTGGAAGCGTCTTTAATTCAGCGTCTAGTCCAATACTTGGCAAAACTTTTAACAAAAATACCAAAAAAATTAGCAATATTAGTGTTAATACAAATCAAGTCGAGAAACTTGTTAGTGAGATGAACCCAAATAAAACCCAAGGACCTGATAATATCTATCCAATAGTCTTACACAGCTGTCCATCAGAATGGACAAAACCTTTAGCCATACTATTTCAGCAATCACTTGACCAAGGCGAAGATCGTACAGCGTGGAAAATAGCCAACATCACTCCTATATTCAAAAAAGGCTTGACCACCGAGCCAAGCAACTATCGACCTATCAGCCTCATCTCTGTTACTTGCAAACTACTAGAAAATATAGTAAGGCAAGCCATCTTAGCTCACTTTGTTGACAATAATTTGATTGCACAAGAACAGCACGGTTTCATTCCCTGTAAGTTGTGCTCTACAAATCACCTTGAAACGATGGAGTACTTAACAAAAGCATCTGCTAATCGACTATTGGTAAACTTGCTCTTCCTGGACTTCCCCAAGGCCTTTGACAAGGTTCACCACATGAGTCTAATCTTGAAACTAGAATGATACTGAATCAACGGTCAAATTCTGGATTGGGTGAAATCCTTTTTATGCAACCGTAAACAAAGAGTAATCCTAGGAGATACTGTATCGGACTGGGAACCATTCTCCAGCAGTGTTCCTCAAGGGTGGTATTGGGATTAACTATATATATATATATATATATATATATATATATATATATATATATATATATATATATTATATATATATATATATATATATATATATATATATATATATATATATATATATATATATATATATATATATATATATATATATATATATATATACATATACATATATATACACATAAATACATACATACATACATATATATATATATATATATATATATATATATATATATATATATATATATATATATATATATATATATATATATATATATATATATACATATATATATATATATATATATTTATATTTATATTTATATATATATATATATATATATATATATATATATATATATATATATATATATATATATATATATATATATATATATATATATATACATATATATATATATATATATATATATATATATATATATATATATATATATATATATATATATATATATATATATATATATATATATATATATATATATATATATATATATATATATATAATAATAATAATAATAATAATAATAAAAGAGTTTGATTATTTGAAAAAATACAACTTTGTGATGGGACTTGAAGTTTCATGCCTTTTCGGCAATCATCAGCCATATTTTATTCTTTTAAATCAAGAAAAAAACAGTTAAAAAATAAAAAATACAAAAATTAACAGAAAAAACAATAACAAAGCAATAGAATGAGTTCTGACGTCAAAACAAATTTTTAATTAGAAAATTGTTTAATTGGCCCTGTCGAAATGGGCAAGAAGAAACTTGTTTCGATGCCTGCACTTGGATATCATTTAACTTTTTTTGTTAAGTAGATTATTATTTTTGGAAAACAGAATTTGATATTTTTCATTTATACACAGTTTGCAAGACTTCGTGGTTGGGTTGTAAGCATTGCACTGCTTAATTATTTTCCATTTAATAACTGGGTTTAAATTTGCATCTTTCAGTTTCCAAAATTCTTTTGATAGTTCAGTATCATTTTTGTATTTTAGAATGTTAAATGATTTTATATGGTTGGCATATCTAATTTTGAATGGTGTTTCGCTTATACCGATGTATAGTTTGTTGACAGGAGTGGTAGTAGTTATTAGTTGAACTTATTTTAGCTTAATATACGATGTTTTTTGTTAAGCATTGGTTTGATAGAGGGTATTGATCTAAATGAGGCAAGCTACTATGGTATTCTTCCTATTGAAGTACATCTTGATCTCGTATGTCTCAGCACACTTAAATAAATTTTAAATAAATCTAACCATCCAATCACACTTAGTCTGCATAAAAACAATTACTTTCATTCCACTTTGAACTTTAAAACCAGATTTTAAATAAATTATTTTTTTACCGTTTACAAAATATTATTGATTAAAAAGTAAAAATACGGGTTTGAAGTTAATAATATTTTTATATTTTTATTAGAAGAACATACAAATTTTAAAAATTATTTTTGGAAAAAAAAAATAATACCGAATGAACATGATCTACCATCAGCCTGCAAAAATGATCCATATGGACATGAGCAAACCGCCTGACCAAATGCCATTTCGCAATTGTATTCACAACTTTTTTCTTTACAATAGTCTTAAAAAAATAAAAAAAAAGGTTGAATTAGAATTCCAATATTTAGTGTGTATATATATATATATATATATATATATATATATATATATATATATATATATATATATATATATATATTCATATATATATATATATATATATATATATATATATATATATATATATATATATATATATATATATATATATATATATATATATATATATATATATATATATATATATATATATATATATATATATATACATTTGTCAATCAATGTAGCTTTTTTCAGTCGATGGAGTCAGCTTTTTTTCAGTCAATGTAGCAGCACTCCGTTGCGAGTCAGGCTATAAGATAGTTAATGTAGCAACACACCGCGCATGTTTTATAGTTAAACAATCTTATCTTATAACCTGCTGCTACAAGGGAGTGTTGCTATATCGACTATTTTATAACCTGACTTGCAACAGAGTGTTGCTGCATTTACTATCTTATAGCCTGACTCAATAGGGAGTGCTGTTACATCGACTGAGGGTTTGGTTTGGGCAGGTAGTCTATCATTTAAGAAGAAAAAAAAAATTATTAAAGTTTTTAAACTTTTTATGGTCTGGTTTATTAATGCGCTCTTTAAAACTACAGTTTAAAGGAAAAACGTTTTGACTACCATACAAAACAATACAAATTATTAAAACTAATTTGAACTAATGGAGACCATATAATAAAAATACAATAAAAATGCAATTAAAAAATTTAACAAATGTTTTAAAAAAGTTGAAAGAACCGGTAAAGTTATAAGGAATTAGATTGAAATTGTCATTTTTACATGTTTTATTTGTTTATTAATAGTGGGTTTTTAATACTCTACAATGGAGAAAATAGAATTAGCCTCACCATGTACTGATTCAATATTTTATAAATCTGTAAGCAAGTTTATACGGTACATCTTTTGTATCCAACGCATTTAATTATTGTTACAAACCATAACTTTTTAGATTATTTAACTTTTTAGATATAGCATAATTATATTGCGGTACATTTGAAAATACCATAAAATGTATAATACTTGATATTTGTGGTAACAAATAGAACAAGCCTCATCAATAATTATTTTCAATTTACTTGTATATTTTGACCTGGTGATACGCATTTGTAAGTTAATCAAAGACTGTGAAATCAGTGCTCATAAAGTTTTTAATATTTGGTTTTTGATACCTTATTTGAAATGGGACGTGGTAAGCCTTTAACGAATGAAAAATTAGCAGTAATCAAATCATACATATGTACAGGCTTATCTGATCGGGAAATAGCAAAGAAAAGTAAAAGATTTCTAAAAGTGGTTAATAATTACTTCAAGATTGGCGTTAATTATGGAGCTTATAAAGGAAGTGGTGGCAAAGGTAAAATTAATAATTGTAATAAACAAGTTATTGTACGCCGTGCTACTGCTTAGCACATGACTGCATCTCAAACTCATGCAGATTTACAATTACCTGTATCTGTTCAATGTGTGAAACAAATCTTACATGAAGAAATAAACACAGTTTGGAAAAAGCGTAAACCAAAACCAAAACTTAGTGCTCATCATAAAGAAGTTAGATTACAGTTTGCAAAAGAACACGTCTTGGCAGGAAGAGTGGCATCAAGTTCTCTTTAGTGATGAAAAAAAGTTCAATCTAGATGGTTCTGATGGCTATCAATATTACTGGCATGATCTTCAAAGGAGAAAGAAACTTGGATGAGTCGCAACTTTGGTGGTGGAACTTTTATGTTTGGGAGACTTTTTCCTTTGCTGGAAAACTTCCACTGGCATGGATTTCAACAAAAATGAAGTCACAGGACTACATTGACATGTTTGCTTGAACATGGTGAGGAATTAATGGGTAAAAATTTCACTTTTCAATAAGATAATGCTGCTATCCATATTTCTAAGCTTACAAAAACTTGGTTTAGAGAAATAAATGTTCATGTAAATGAATGGCCTGCATGTAGTCTAGATCTTAACCAATTGAAAATCTATGCGGAATACTTTCTAGAAAGGTTAATGAAGATGGTATGCAATTTGAATCCACCTTAGAGCTAAAAACTCGTATAAGAGAAGCTTAGAATGAAATATCTTAGAATGAAATATCTAAATATCTAAATTTTAGGAGGCCAAATCCAAAAATTTATGTTTTTCGTTTAAAGCTTTGCATGAAATTTATTTTGCTGACCTGATGCCAACCTCTACAAGATTTAGGTCAGTATATTATTGCTGACCTCATATCAACTCTTGGAATTAGAGAAAATGAGGTTGACAATAATTTGCCGACCTCAATCTTTTTGAGGTCGGCATCAGGTCGGCAAAAATTATTTGATACAAAGGTCTGACCATAAAACATAGAAACGAGGTTGGCAATTCTTTGCCGACCTTAAACACTTTCAAAATTAATCATTTTTAAGTGTTTGATGAGTGCTTAAAAAGTATTCAATTGCGTTTAGGATTGTCTATCACACCCACGCTGAATCAGATTTTAGTTTGATGAAATGACATAGGGTTGTGCCATACCTTTTTGAAATTGTTAGAACCATACCATTCAGAGGAAGTTAGTGAAAAAAATCATAAAACTAATCTTTAAAAAATAGTTGGGTTTACACAGGGGTAAAATAGGGTCCTGGACTTAGGCGCTCCTTTAACTTATATCAAGACCCACCACAGGGGTGCATGCAATTATTGTACATTTTGTCAGAAAATATGACTAGTCGATATATGTCCCCCTCAGATCGGTCTTAAAAACAGTCTGAGGGGTGCCAATGCAAGGTACTTTTTTCTTCTTAAAATTAAAAGGGAAAAAAAATATTATTTTTAGAAAATATTTATTAAACATTATTTAAATGTTTTCCATTGAAACTAACCACTGCTTTTTTCAAATAATTTGCATACTTTTGATGGTTATCAGACACTTTGAAACGTTCCCATGCTTCCTTTAGAAATGAGTAGTGAAGACCTTTCCCTGCTTGTTCACTAAAGAAACCCAATTCAATGTCCTTATCTTTACAAAAAGGACCCACATGTTAAAATATGATATGTAACTTCACAGTAACTGTCATTTCATAATCTTCCACTAAGGTTGAATAATGATTCTTAAATAACCTGATGTCCTTTTCAAATGTTGGCTATAAATTTACACCAAAACAAGAGTGAACATGGTTATCCAGAAACCTAAACGCTTCAGCCAATGGTTTTAATAGGACTGGAAACAAGTTATAGTAATTCACCCAATTTTTTAATATTTTTTGACAACTATTACCATTATATGACCCATTTCTTATTGATTTAGAAATATTTAAGTCATTTTCGATCTTTTTTAATAGTACTGGATCAGCTAATTTGTTTATTGTTTTAAAGATATGGTTTGTTGCCCCTTTCATCAAATGAAGTTCTGGAGGAGAAAGATGATTAACAACTAGATCATTATCATCACCAATTAAAAGAACTTCATCAATACAGTTAAAATATTCTTTTGCTCTAATTTTCTTTGATCCGCTCAATTTATACAATTTACGGCTAAATTTTATTGACCCATGTGTTCGTAGCTCAGTGCAATCATTTTTAAAAACCTCTGTTTTGTTACATGTACAAATATAACACGGATAAGTTGCCATGGAACTTGGAGACATACCACACTTGACTTGACAGAGTTTGATATCTGCCACATAAGTAAAGTTTATTTTATCCAAACAGAGATTGTTAAGCAGAATTTTAACATTATGGTTTGTCTCTGGTGCATCTGGTACCAGTGCTATAATAAATGATGCTTTCACAGATCCTTCCTTGAAATTTGGTGATTTAATTTCTCCATATTTTCTCCTTTTATTTTTAATTGTTTCACTAGGATTTGATACAATATTTAAGCAAACCTGAATATTTTATAATAAATTACACTTATTATTTTTAATTAGAAAAAAAAGTGGCACATTATAAAATCAAATTACCTTAAGAAATCCGCGACCTCCGTAAATGGAAACTTGTATATACTGGTTTTGAGGATAGGCTACTTTTTTTATCTATTATTTGCCACAGAAGCTCATTGACATCTGTTGTTCTGATAAATGGAGTTTAAACAAACTTTTTTCCTCTACAGATTTAATATTAAAAAGTTCAAAATCCTCAACAAAGCAATCATCAAGTTGCTGGTCAATACGTCTGAGCTCTGCTGCTAACCCTGATTGTACAATTTTTCTGTTTTGTGCTTTGAATCGTTATTCTTTTGCTAGCTTTAAAATTTTTGTGTTACTTAATTCTAAAGTTGATTGTATGTCAATCATACTGTTTATAGACAGTTGTTGTATATTACTAGTATCATGGTTTCTCTTAATTGTAAAACTAACTTTTTTACCACCAGTAGCAAGTATCGCTTTACCCTTTTTGTCTATTTTATCTTTTATTAAAGAATTAGCTATTTGCTCAATTGTCTTGACATTATTTGCAAGCTTTTGTATTATATTACATTTAAGTACAGCTAAAGAACTTTTGTGGGTAATTCCTTTGCTAATAATTGAAAAGCATGTTTGACAAGTTAGACTATTAAATAGAGGTTGCGCGTTACATATACGTCCCCTTTTGAATTTTTTAGGTCTTCCTTGAGTAGATCCAATTATACATATTTAGCATTTACATACAAAAACACTTCTAGTTATGAAGTCACAGGACTACATTGACATGTTTGCTTGAACATGGTGAGGAATTAATGGGTAAAAATTTCACTTTTCAATAAGATAATGCTGCTATCCATATTTCTAAGCTTACAAAAACTTGGTTTAGAGAAATAAATGTTCATGTAAATGAATGGCCTGCATGTAGTCTAGATCTTAACCAATTGAAAATCTATGCGGAATACTTTCTAGAAAGGTTAATGAAGATGGTATGCAATTTGAATCCACCTTAGAGCTAAAAACTCGTATAAGAGAAGCTTAGAATGAAATATCTTAGAATGAAATATCTAAATATCTAAATTTTAGGAGGCCAAATCCAAAAATT